CGGACGGCTCTGCCGCGCGGACACCCGCGGGGACTCCGAGGGGACGCGCTGCAGCCGCACCCGGGACCCGCGCCACCCCCGCGCGGGGTGCCCCACGGCGGGCACCCGAAGCAGCGCGCTCGCCCGCCCCTCGCGTCTCTCTCTCCCACGCGCAAGCGCAGGGCGGACACAGCTTCGCGCACGGTCCACGCTGAAAGCCGGCGAAGGGCGCCTGCGCACTGCCGCCTTCGTCACCCGCGCGGGCCTGGGCTCGCCCTTCCTCTCCGGGATTGGACGCGCAGCGCTCCGCAGGGAGGGGCCAAGGGCACACTGAGCGAATCCCTGGCGTGGCCCGGGAGTTGCCCTTCCTCCCCCTCCCGGTGATTGGACGAGCCTGCGGGGTGTCCCGGAAGGGGCGAGGCCGGCCAAGCGGCCCGTGTAGGCGGCTGGTCTGGTTTCTGAAGTCTTGGCTGCGGAAGATCGGCCTGCTCTTCGCTGGACGCTGGCGACCTGGCGGGGCACACGCTGCTTGGACAGGGGCCTGCGCGTTCTCATGGAGCTTCGAAGGAATCTGAAAACCGCCTTGGGGGGCGGGGGGGCTCGACGTTCCCGGTGGGTGAGAGAGACACTGGTCCTTGTCGCACGGGAAGAGTCTCGTGGACAGCGGAGAGTTGAGCAAAGCCATAGAGTTTATTGAGCGCAAGTACAAAGCTCTCGAGAGTGAGGGGGGTCCCAACGGGGTTGCCGCCGAGGACTTTTGTCTCTGACTTTTTATTGGGACCTTATCAGGAACTGGATTAACAGTTTGTGAAACTCTGTCTGTGGCACCTGGCGTGGACAGGTCTGGAATCGCTTACCCTGTTTGTTCCCAAAACCCGTCCGCAGCTACAGCTATAGCGCCCACCCGCACCTGCAGCCAGGGGCTGGGGACACGGTGGACGCCAGGCGGAGCCTGCCCTGGCTGCAGTCGGGGGTACCTGATCCATCCCTGCCTGCTAACCCTTTCCCTGCTCACTGAGATGCTTGCTGTCCTTCTTAAGGGACGGTGGGGATCCTAGTCTAGGAAGAGGGGCACAGCTGCAAGGATAGCCGTGAACTTGTAGCTATAACGGGATTCGGGGTAAGGGACGCAGAACTGCCAGAGGGAAAAAGCTACGAAGGTGCTGGGGGGAGATTGTGGGAGGCCTTGAATGCCAGGCTAGGTAGTTTGGACTTCATCCTGGGGATTAGGGGGATCAAAATAAACATTTGGGGCACTTTAAACAGGGGTGACATGATCAGATAATGAAATTTAGAAAAATAATTCAGTAACTGTAGAGAATCCTAAAGTCTTTCTCCGAGCTGTTTCAGTGAGCCAGCTGGGAGCTTGTTTTTAAATGCAGTCTTACCCCTCCCTAGACCTGCAAAGTAGGTTCTCTGGTTGTGCAGCCAGGGAACATACATTTGGGGAAAATGAATGCACAAGTCATAAGATCTGAATTTTCCCAAGCTGAACACGCTGGTGTAACCAACATCGCGGAAGAAACATCGCCCAGTCAGAAGCCTCTCTTCCCCACCCCACCCCCAGTCAGTACCGCCTGCACTCAGGGTACACATGAGCATTACTTGGGACAACCATAGATTGCCTGTTTACTGTTTTGAATTGTATATAATTAAATTACATACCACATACTCTTTGCATCCACCTTATTTCATTGGGTGTTATGTATAAATCCATCCATATTGTTCCTGTATTTGCTGTCGACTCCATTGCTAGCAACTTTGATCCATTCTCTTGTTTGTGACCTTTGAATAGTTTCCAGTTTGGGGCTATTAACAAAACAATGTGCTGCTCTGAACTTTCTTATTCATGCCTTTTGCTTCGTAAATTATAAAGCAAGTAACCAAGGCCTAAAGACTAATTCATTCGCTGCCTGTTTATTGAGCCTACCATACAAAGAAGAAAATGGCCAAAGTCCTGCTCTCATGGAACTTATTCCAACTCGTACAAAACTACAACCTACATGGACAGGAAAATAAGTCAAAAAATGGCAACTGAAATAATGGTTTTGAGGAAAATGAAAAAAAAATGAGCTAGAAAAAGGAAGGGCACTAACCTATTTTTTTTATGTGACAGGTTAAGTCTCTCAGATGAGAGATCTAGAAAACAATCCAGCAGATGAGCTGGCACTGCCATGCAATGAGTATGAACACAGGAGGGAGTCACTATGTGCAGAACTCAGAGACCAGGAGAGAACTGGGCCTGTTAAGATCAGTGCAGCTGAAACACAACGAAGATGGGAGAGAGGAGATGGCACAGGTGTGTTTGAACATAGGCGCATATGGTGCAGGACCTTGGAGGTTAGAGTTTAGGTTTTATTTTAAATATGGTAGAAAGCCGCTGAAGTGTTTTAACAACGAAGTGATATGATCTGATTGTTTTCTTTCTCTTTTTTTTTTTTTTTTTTCTTTCTCTTTTTTTTAAGGATCCCTCTGACTGATAAGCAGAATAGATTAAGGGAGGCAATGGAGAAAGCAGGTCACTTAGGAGGCTGGTAGAACAGTCCTGAAAGATGGGGCACCTGGGTGGCTCAGTCCGTTAAGCGTCCGACTTTGGCTCAGGTCACGATCTCACAGTTCATGAGTTTGAGCCTCACATCAGGCTCTGTGCTGACAGCTCAGAACCTGGAGCCTGCTTCCCATTCTGTGTCTCCCTCTCTCTGACCCTCACCCCCTGTGTTCTGTTTCTCTCTGTCTCAGTAATAAATAAAACATTAAAAAAATATTTTTAAATTAAAAACAACAGTCCTGGAAGATACTGGCATACAGTTTAGAGGAAAGGACTGAAAGGTATTTGGGAATGCCAGTACAATGATCACCTTAATCTAGCAGTGAAAGGTATCACTGCATATTTAGACAAAGAGATGTCCTATGCACGTATTCTGACATTTTGCGTCGAGGGCACAACATTTCCACCAAAAATGCATAATCTGAATCTGATCATGGGGAAAACTACAAGTCCATATTGAGAGACAGTCTACGAAACAACTAGCCTGTATTTTAAAGATTTTTTAAAGTTTATTTATTTTGAGGGGGTGTGTGGGGGGATGGGTTAAATGGGTGATGGGCATTGAGGGCACTTTAAGGAAGACGAACACTTAAAGTGAACACAGAGTGTCATGTAAGAGATGAATCACTGGGTTCTCCTGAAGCTATGACTACACTGTATGCTAACTAACTTAAATATAAATTAAAATAATAAAGCTTATGTATTTATTTTGAGAGAGTGAGAGAGAGCATATGAGAGTGGGGGAGGAGCAGAGAGAGGAGAGAGAGAATTCCAAGAATTCCATACTGTCAGCACAGAGCCAGATGTGGGGCTCCAACTCATGAACTGTGAGATCATGACCTGAACCAAAACCAAGAGTCGGACCTTAACCGACTGGGCCACCCAGGTGCCCCTGATGGCTTTTTTTTTTTATGTTGATTTATTTATTTAGAGAGAGAGCGCTAGCGTGAGGGTGGGGAGGGGCAGAGAGAGGAGAGGATCCCAAGCAGGCTATGCGCTGCAAGTGCAGACCCCAATGTGGGGCTAGATTCCACCAACATGAGATCATGACCTGAGCGGAAATCAGAGTCTGAAGCTCAGCCGACTGAGTCACCCAAGCGCCCCTGGCCTGTATTTTAAAATGTATTATGAAAGGCAGGGTTAGGAACCATTACAGATTTTAAAACCCTAAATGTGACAGCTTCTAACTTGTGATCCTCCATTAGATCATGAACCAGGAAAAAAAGAGTCTTTAGATGCTCTAAACTACCTAAGTGGGACAATCGATAACCCCTGAATAAGACTGCAGAATAAGTGATAGGCTGTTAGTATTCTCTTCCTCAGGTTGATCATTGCACTGATTATGTAAGATAACGTCTTCGTTTTTTAGGAAACAGCACATCGTTAACAGGTACGTCATGCCTAACATCCTCTCAAACGGTTTAGAAACAAGCCCCAGAACAGTAAAGCAAACCTAACGTGTTAACATTCGGGGAACCTAAGTGAAGCGGTCTGGGGAATTATTTGTACTAGTGTTGCAACTTTCCTGTTAAGTCTGAATTACTCTAAAACGACAGGTTAAGGGACGCCAGGCTGGCTCAGTCAGTAAAGCCAGTGCCTCTTGATCTCATGGGTTGTGAGTCTACGCTCCACCACGGAGCCCACTTAAAAACAAACAAAACAAAAAGCCAACAAAATCGGTGGGACCACTTAGAGGAAAAACAAAAAACCTAGTACTGAGCCATTGGACCGTTCCCAGACTGAGCCCGAACACACTGTCGGGGGCTTGCGGAGTCGCGGAGCCCACCCGACCCGGGCGGAGGTGTTCAATGCTGATGGGACGGAGGGGACTGGGGGCGGTCTGCATTCGGAGGTAGGAGGGGACGTGAGGAGGGGGCTCTCCCGGCTCGGGCAGTTGGCCGTTTGGTCCTATAGGACTTCTAGAAGTTTCTGTATTTTCCCTATCACCATGAGTAACAACACTCAGCCAAAAATCCCGGGCACTTAAGAGAAACGGAAGGAGGGGCGCCTGGATGGTTCGGTCGGCGAAGCGTCCGACTTCGGCTCAGGTCAGGATCTCGCGGTTCGTGGGTTCGAGCCCCGCGCCGGGCTCTGTGCTGACAGCTCGGAGCCTGGAGCCGGTTTCGGATTCTGTGTCTCCCTCTGTCTATGCCCCTCCCCTGCTCATGCTCTGTCTCTCAAAGATACATAAATGTTAAAAAAAAAACAAACAAACTAATAAAAGAGACACGGAAGGAAAGTGGAAGAATATTAAAAGAAGCCGGATGGAATGCGGTCAGTTATAATGAAAGGCACAGCTCTGGGCTCCGACGAGACGACCTGCCACTGACCGGACCGCCGGGCCGCAGAGCGCCGCGCCCGTCCGCCGGAAGGCAACGGGCCCCGAGCCCGCTCCGCCATGTTTTCCCAGTGAGCATGCGCGCGCCCGCGCACGTACGACCCTAGCCAATCAGTGCTCGCGCCGGCGGCTCGCTAACCGCAGGGGCGGGGCGGCCTTCTACACATGCGCCGCGTCGGGCGGCCCCTCTTCCTTCTCGCCGAGCGCCGCCAGCATGGTGAGTGTTGCCGTGGCGGCCTCCTGGGGTGGCGGCCGTGCCGCTCCCCCTCCGCCTCGGAGCGGGAAGGAAGGCCTGGGATGGTGTCCGGCGGGTCCTGGGTGGCCCGCGGTGAGGGTCCCGGGGCGGGGGGAGCGCGGGGTTCAGCTTCACGGCGCGCGAGCCAAGAGCGCGTGGGCGGCCCCGCAGGCCCGGCCCGCCTGGGCCTCGCGTGCGCGCGGCGGCCGCCGGAGCTGGAGCGGCCCGCGGCCTCCCGGGGCCCAGCCGGGCCGGGGCCGTGCGCACCCGGTTTGCTGCGGGCCCGCGGGAACCTGGCTTTTGGCGCCGCCGCCTCTGCGTGTCGTATCCATTCTCTGGTCGTCCTGCGGCGCCCGGGCCTGTTCCCCCGACGTCCTTTGCCCCTGGGCTTAGTCACGTTGCTTTCGAACTGCAAAGTCTGGTAAACTGACGAGTACTTTTTATTTCATAAGTCTTGCCGTCTCCCTCCCCTCTCGATTTTAGGTGTTCAGGCGTTTCGTGGAGGTTGGCCGGGTGGCCTACGTCTCCTTTGGGCCTCATGCCGGAAAGCTGGTCGCGATCGTAGATGTTATTGACCAAAACAGGGTGAGTGTAAGGAAAAGTGTGCCCGCCTCACGCGCCGGGGACTGGTCTGCAGTATAATGGGCATGTTGCGGGTTGTAGCTCGCATTGACCACCGAGGGCACGGGCCGTGCGAAGCGGGGACCTCACGCATAGCCTTGAATTGGCCAAATGTTGTCTCAGCCACTTGAGCTACCCGGACCTTTTAGCCAGTTACGGGCTGAAACGGTGAGGTTTAAAGGCGTTACCGTATGTAAAGTGAGCCCAGCACAGAGCCGGGCGCACGGAAGGCCCTTGTGTGTGCTGCTGTTCGGAAAACATGAACCAAGGGACGGGCGGAAGTTTGGAGTATTTGTTCGGGGTGCTGTGCTGTTGGCACTGAGCTTCTCCCTCCACTGTGTTCTAGGCCCTGGTTGATGGACCCTGCACTCAAGTAAGGAGACAGGCCATGCCTTTCAAATGCATGCAGCTCACCGACTTCATCCTCAAGTTTCCGCACAGGTAACAACCCTCCGGCCGCACTCCTCCCACCCACCCCCCCCTACTCGGTTCACACTGGCAGAGGTTGCTTAGTCTGATTCAGAAAACGGTTTGACCTTTTGTTTTTTGGAGCGTTGGGTACAGTGTTGAAGAGCAAGAATTCAGAAGAGGGGCTTGGGGTATAGGAGTGAGTGGCCAGTTGTTTCTTTAAGTGATCTGTGGGTCGGGTCTCACACCCTGCCTATTCTCTGGTTTTGCCCTTCCCCAGCTTCGCCATCTTTTTCGAGCCTCCTTTCAGGACTTACACAGCAAATCCCTTCCTGGGGAGTTCTGGTCTCCCAAACGTGTTTTAGTCCCGGTTAGCTTAAAAAACAAAAATTAATTTTCGTCTTTTCTAGTACTAGCTCTCATTGAGCTTTTAGTGTGTGTCAGTTATTAAGGATTTAACCCACATCATCTCATTTTGTCAGCCGCTGAAGTTCTGTTTCCAGCTGCTTCTAGGGAGTTGAAGACGTTAGTGATTCCTTCCTGACATGATGTAGATTATGGAAGTTAAGCACTATGATGTTCTCTTCAGCTACCTCAGCTGCAGTGGAGCGTGTGATGCTGGTTCATTAAGCGTGCAGGGGTTTAGAAGTATTTGAACGAACTTGAAAATGATGATTAGATTTTGTGTTTGGTCACCTCTCTTTAAGCATTATTCTACAGACTAAATGTTAGGCCTAAGGATTAGTTTTATCTTCTTTATGGAAAGGAAATTGTTTTCTGTACGTCCGCTGCATTAGAGTGATGGTATATGCAAGATCAGAGATGATTTTATATCCAGAAAATGGACTGGTTTGCTTTTTTTTTTTTTTTTTTTTTTTTTTTAATTAAAATTCCATGTTTGAGAGCTGCCTGGCAGGCTCGGTAGAGCATGGGACTCCTGATTTCGGAGTTTTGAGTTCAAGCCCCATGTTGTACTAGTGCTTACTTTAAAAATAAATGAACCATCCTGTGGACAACAGTCAGGTAAGTAAAAGACCTAGTGCCCCAAGTGGTATGTGGTCCGTGGAGACAACTAGAGCTGGAAGTACAAAGAGTGAGTGGGAAACAGGATATAAATTGTGCTTTCAGAGGGTTCAAAGCTGGTTCCTTAATCTGGTCTTGGCTCTTCCTAGTGCTCGCCAGAAGTATGTGCGACAAGCCTGGCAGAAGGCAGATATCAATACAAAATGGGCAGCCACGAGATGGGCCAAGAAGATTGAAGCCAGAGAAAGGGTAATGCCATAGAGTCCTTTGAGTTGGGGCCTTTTCTTTTATGGGGGAGTGGTAGGTAGTATGAGCAATGATTTATTTGCTTTATTTTTAACAGAAAGCCAAGATGACAGATTTTGATCGTTATAAAGTCATGAAGGCCAAGAAAATGGTAAGTTTTTAAATTGTTACGAGATTTTTATAATCAGACTCTAAAATTGGTAATTCAGCTTGCCCAAGCTTTGTAGACCAAAGTGGAATTTGTTATGGGTCTTAGAAGTAGGTTTGTTTTCTGTGTGTATACACTGTATACGTATAGGATGGGAAAACCGGGTTTTTGTGTGCATATATGGTAAATAATTTGCTGAAATTTTTCAGAGGAACAGAATAATCAAGCTTGAAGTTAGGAAGCTACAAAAAGCAGCTCTCCTGAAAGCTTCTCCCAAAAAAGCACTTGCTGCTAAGGGTGCTGCCGCAGCAGCTGCTGCAAAGGTGCCAGTGAAAAAGCTGGCCGCCGCAGGCAAGAAGGCTCCAGCCCAGAAGGTTCCTGCCCCGAAAGCTGCAGGCCAGAAGGCAGCACCTCCAAAGGCTCCGAAGGGGCAGAAAGCTCCACCGCAGAAAGCACCTGCCCCAAAGGCATCTGGCAAAAAACCGTAATGAAGGCACAGAGGCTGTTAAATAATAAAGGTTCTTTTTGACATGCTGGCAAGTGTCCTTTGTGACGTAAAGCCTGTTTCTGGGTCGGGTTTATGGCGCAGGTTAATAGGATAGGACTGTTCTCACTCGAGGGGATGACGGTTAGTTTCTCTGGTTGCTATGGTTTCCGCCCAGAAGCTGGCTTAAGCTTCATTCGGATCAGTGAGGACAAAACTCCTCTTCGCTTGGTGATATTAATAGGCAGGTCGTGTGGTGTTGATAGAGGAAATGCAGGTTGGGGATACCTGTCCTTCCCTGAGGGTTGGGGGGTTGCTTGGATAAATGGGGATCACCAGCTAGAACCTGAAAGCAGGTCTAAGAAGGTATGAAGGTCAAGAATGCGGTGGACTGGCTCAGGACCCCAGAAGAAAGCGGCAGGTCGGTGTTCAGTCTGTGAGGACTGCGACAACCCACTCCGTGTTTTCCGATAGTGACCGTTCAGATCGAGGTCACGTTGAACTGAATCTTTTTTTTTTTTTTAATGTTTTTTTTTTTTTTAATTTCTGGGAGATAGAGACAGCGTGAGCAGGGGAGGGTCAGAGAGAGAGGGAGTCACAGACTGAAACAGGCTCCAGGCTCTGAGCTGGCAGTCAGCACAGAGCCCGACGCGGGGCCCGAACCCACGAACCGCGAGATCATGACCTAAGCGAAAGTCGGACGCTTAACCGACTAAGCCACTCAGGCGCCCCAACGTTGAACTGAATCTTGAGGGAACTTCAACTTCACTGGGAAGGTCAAAGGTGGTACAGGCCTGGCAGCTTTCCTCACCCTGACAGCGGTCCAAACCAAGTAGCCGCAGTGCCACTTAGGAGGCCTTCGTGGGTTGGGCTGGAAGGAAAGTGGGAGCCAGACATGCTAAGGGTTTCTGGTTTGCTCTGGCGCCTTGCCCGTGGGAGAATAAGCTGCAGCAGCGTTACTCGGGGGATGGCTGCCGCGCAGATGGCACCCACCGTGCTGGTAGGTGGACAGGGATGCCGACGACCTGCCTTCACATCCTGGCCCCGCCTGGTGATGCAGGCAAGCTCCGTATCCTCAAGCAAGCCCGGCTTACTCCTGCGTGGTGTGCTTCATGGAGTGAGGAAGTGAGCCGTGATTGGACAGCCCGGTGGCTGGTTCATAGCAGCAGCTGTGGTTAGGACAGTTCAGGGGTGTGTAAGCAGTCACTCGAGACCCCCTGAGGAAGGAGACTGGGAAGGAGTGATCAGAGGTGGGACGCCAGGTGGGGGACATGGAGGCCACGAATGTTGGCATCGTCAAGGTTGAGGGGGAGGGCAGTGAGTGAAGAAGAGTTAGTGGAGTCTGGAGGTTTCGATTTTGTAGTTGGAGTGATGGGCACGTTTGGATGCTTCTGAAAAAGCAGCTGGTTGGAAAGGAATTGGGCTTTTGAGAAAAGAATGGAGCCTAGAAGAGGGACTGGTAAGTTTTATCAGATACTTCGTTTGAAGAGGAAAAAGAAAAAGTGGGTTTAGAAGCTAAACTTGCAGTTTTGCTGGTGGGAAGTCGAGGGTGTCTCTGATCTCTGAATTTCTCTGGAGTTTGAAAGCAAGGTCGCATGTGGAGAAAGGGGACTGAGGGGCTGTGGATTTGCAGAGAATGCAGGTTTGAACATGGTCACGGAGGCGAGGGGAGAGTGCTTCTGTCCGGTGACGCTGATTTGGATGGCCCTTCACCTCCAGTCTGTGAGGTGGTGCCCAGAGGAGGAGTTGAAAGCTGAGAGGAAGAGAAAGCTTCAGGGTGGAAGCCGCTGAGCTGCGCCTGGAAGAGTGTAGTATGGAACAGCAGAACTTAGGGCGCCTGCAGGGAAGGGACCGAGGAATACATACGGCACTTGAAGAGGAGTAGGAAGTAGGGGAGGGGGCGCAGGGGAAATGATACAGATGTTAGCGGGGCTACAGTCCTTGGGAAAATGCATCTGGCGGCAGCAGCACAGTCCCCACGGACCAGGCGCTGGAAGGGGAGGTCACGGGCACGTAATAGTCCACTCTGATTACAGAGAATTGCACAGTGACCTCATTAGGGAGGAACATGGACTTCAGAGTCAGAGCCAAGCTTCAGTCCCCGCAGGCAGCCCAGCCCGGTCTTGTACTTCCCATGAGCCTCAGCTGGAAAACGACCCTGATAACCTGCCTTCCACAACACCGTGGCAAGGATCAGGTGAGACCGGGCCTCCAGGTAAAGTTAGGCGGTTGGCAGGTTTGCTTTCCGGAGAGCCTCTGCCCCCTCGACAGCCTCCAGCTTCTGGGTAGTTAGCGTCTCCCAGCTGTGACGCCGCCCAGGAATTCGTCCTGAGTTCCGTGGTCTCTAACTCACGTTTCCTTACCCCTCATCTCTTGGATGAAATAGCTTTTAGTGCCTGAGTTGTTAAGCTTACCTGTAGGTCTGCTGGCTAGCCGGATATGTGTGGGTGTGTGTCCAGAATAAACCATGAACAATACATTTACATCATTAATACGTTTACATTTGAATTGAAATTAAAGGGGCCTTTGATTATCTCCACTAAGAACTATGGTATCTTGCAAAGGAACCGCTGTATGTCCTTGCAGACATTTTTCCATTCTGTTACCTACATAATAGTTGGGGCGCCTGGGGGGCTCAGTCGGTTAAGCGTCCGACTTCGGCTCCGACATCTCAGTTCGTGGGTTCGAGCCCCACGTCGGGTTCTGTGCTGACAGCTCAGAGCCTGGATCCGGCTTCTGCTTGTGTGTCTCCCTCTCTTTCTGCCCCTCCCCCACTCACATTCTGTCTCTCTCTCTCAAGTAGAAAAAATAAACATTAAAAAAAAAATCAAACCAATCCCTGGAAAGGGGAATGGGAAACCCATGATTGCTAGACCTGCCAGGACCAGCCTCTCCAGAAGCGCACGGCTCAGAGGAGAAGGGTGGACACCAAATACCAGGAAGGCGTGTCGTGTGTGGGCTGGGGCCTGGATGAAAGGGACATTAGGGGCGGCCGCAGTGCCGGTTACAGGCTCCCTTAGGCCAGCCGCTCCTACGATGCGCTCCGTGCCCCGCCTGTGGAGACCCAGTGTGCTTGGGAAGATGCACGTTCCCAGGCCCAGGCTGTTGTCTGAGACGCCAGGAGGGAAGGGAGGCTGAGACAGAGGCCTACTGAGTTACAGTCCCCTCAGACCGTTTTCCCGCTCACTGATGCTGAAGAGCCACTCACTGGAGCGGAAGAAAGCTCACGGTTCACCTCTGGTCCCTTTGTTACCAGCCTCCCCGCGAGGGACGCAGTGCATGACCGGGCAGGGGTGCCTCTCCGGTCTGACACTGTCAGTGACGTTCAGATGACAACATGCCTGTCAGTTGTAATTAACGTGCATTATTCATATGACTTTCAGCTTCACTTGCTGAATCCACGATTCCTGTTACAACACTTCATGAAAAAGTGTGACCACGGCTTCCCCTCTATGGGCTAATAATATATTGAAAAACATCAAGGAAGACTAAGTATGACATTTATGGAAAGCAGCATCTGGGACCTTTTTAAAAATTTTTTTAATATTTTATTTTTTTATTAAAAATTTTTTTTAATGTTTTATTTATTTCTGAGAGAGCAAGATAGACAGTGTGAGCAGGGGAGGGTCAGAGAGAGAGGGAGACACAGAATCTCCAACAGGCTCCAGGCTCTGAGCTGTCAGCACAGAGCCCGACGCGGGGCTCAAACCCACGAACCGTGAGACCATGACCTGAGCTGAAGTTGAATGCTTAACCGACCCAGTTGACGACCCAGTAACCGACCCAAGTTGAATGCTTGAGCCACCCAGGCAGGCGCCCCTGGGACCATTTTGTTAATGTGATGAAAGGTCTCAGGTGATTCTGGCGCTGGAGAAAGGCTGCCACCAAGAGGAAAGGCCAGCTGTTTACGTTCTGGATGCCGCTAAACGGCGTCTGATGTGATGTTCAGTCTCCAATTAACTGACCTCAGTCACCAGGGGAAGAAGCCTGGGCAATGACCAGCATGGCGTCATAGGAGGGGCTTGTTGCCCAAGGAACTAGACAGTGATCAGCTCCACATTATTGATTGCAAATGATTTACCTCTTTTTGGAGGTGCCTGCTTGAATTTTTCACTGGATGTCGAAAAATCCTTTGAGATTTAATAGATCCAAAATAAAATTCCTGATTATACCTTCACTGCTGATGTTCGTATCTTAGGTTTCCTCCCCTCCTGTGCGTTTCTGTCCCTTCAGACTACAAACCACCACCTTCCTAATTCAGTGCTTTGCCTAAGTCCTTGCTTCAGCCTCTGCCTTTGAGGAAACCCCAAGTAAGATGGGTGACATGAAAGGAACAAAGATTTCTTAAGATGTTCCTAGAATGTTATTCCAAAGAATTCTGAATATAGGATGCATACAGCACAATTAACATATAGTTAGTTAGAAGGATAGCCAGGTTTAAAGATGCCAGGGAAACTGGCAACAACGTTTACATCTGGAAAAGGGAATGGACCCAAGGGAAGGAGTGAGAAGAGAACTTAGTCTTCACTGTGACCTCTTCTAATTTGAATGCTTTACCTAGTTAAACATAATTATCTATTGTATGTACGTATGTGTTTTAGAGAGGAAGCATGCATGGGGGGGGAGGGAGAGAGAAAGACAGAGAAAGACAGAGAGAGAGAGAGAGAGAGAGAGAGAGAGAGAATCTCAAGAAGGCTCCACACCCAGCCCAGCGTGAAGCCAGATGTGGGCTCGATTACATGACTGTGAGATCATGACCTGAGCTGAAACCAAGAATTGGGCATTTAACCGACAGAGCCACCCAGGTGCCCTAATAATTACCTATTTTAAATGTAGATAGACGGGACGCCCTGGTGGCTCAGTTGGTTAAACGTCCGACTTCAGCTCAGGTCAGGATCTTGCAGTTCATGAGTTCGAGCCCTGCATCGGGCTCTGTGCGGACAGCTCAGAGCCTGGAGTCTGTTTCAGATTTCATGTCTCCTCCTCTCTCTGCCCCTCCCTGCTCATGTTCTCTCTCTCTCTCTCTCTCTCCCAAAAATAACAATAATAA